ACATGTCGGGCAAAATCAACCGATCCTGTGCCAGCGGCTGAAACGAAGTCCAAGAGTAAGACAAAGTCTGGACGAAGGAAACCCAAGGCCAGGTCCAGCGCCCAGCCACAATCAGAGGTGACTCCTAACGACACCGCTGCCCCAGTCCAAAGCAAAAAAAGAAAAGGGGACTTGATCGAAGCCAGGCCAAAGAAGACCAGAGTCGTGAGTGCGGAGTTCATCAACAGCAGCAGTGATGAGGAAACATTGAAGCCGAAGTCGGAGTCACTTCGACCGGTTGGTGGGGAAGCAAAGGCGGTTAAACCCAAGTCCCAGCCCCATTTCTCCCGCATGACACCCAGTGCCAGCTTCAGTCTCATCCGAAGGCCCAAGTTAGACCCTGACGCCGGTCCTCCCAAGACTGCCATGGCCGCTTTAAGGCAAGCCAAAACTGCCGAACGTCTTGCAAATCAGAATGCCGCGATTGCGAAAGGCAATTATCAGCTTGCGGATATCCCCTGTGAGGCCTGCAGCAAACGCCAAGATCGAGACATTGTTCCATGCGCTATCCGTTCCCCCCCACAACAAGGATCCTGCTTCACCTGCAGTACAGGTAAGACGACCTGCACATATGCAGTAACCAAGAAAAAGGACACCGACAGTGAGGTCGAAGACGAGATCCAAAAGGGGTTGCAGGATCTTGAAACGGCCACAGTCTCCGGGGGAGATGCCCAAGTGAAGATCGTGAGGAAGAAAGTGAGGTCAAAGAAGCCGCAGGTGAAGAAGGTGAAGCCGGATGTCAAAGAGAAGGGCAAGCAGGATGTCGAAATGGCCGCAGTCGGGCATGATGTGGAGCATGCAATTGACGTGGACATGGAGGTTGGTCTGACAATGGGAAAGGGGAAGTCCAAGGGTGGTATCAACATAGAGATGGCCGAAGTCAAACATGAGGAAACCGAGGTCGGTGCCATTCCAAAAGCTGACAAAGACGTGGGCCGGGTGACTCCCACCATAATCATTGAGCCACCCACACCACACACATCGGCGATTTTCAAGAGCACTGAGACCGAGGTTGGTACCAACACTGACAAAGGAAAGGGCCGGGAGATTGGGCCGCCAGCCAGTGAGATGGAGTGGATCGTGCCCGAGTTAGCAATGCGGCCAGGTAAAAAATTCATGAAACTCGTTATTCTTTGCTGACTTCGTTTATAGAATTGGGCTTGGCTGTCAATTATATGCAACAAAGCTTTACACCCCCACCTGTTGAGCACACGTCCCGGCCAGAAGGTTCGCGTTCGGTATCCCGTTCTCGGCAGGTCAGCCCACCAGATCCCAAGGAGGTTCATCGTAAGTTTCAAGTTGTTTTCTCATTTCCCATGATTCTCAACTTGAAAACTTAGTTGACACGGCGCTCTATCAGAAGAAGATTGACTTTAGGTCCTTGAGCCCCCCACCGAACTTCGACATGCAGACGATGCAGCAGGAGATCAGAAGACTTGCTCATGGCCAAGCCGACCTCCTGCAGAAACTCCGAGACCAACAAGCGCAAGTCAGCGTCATGGAGTCGTCTACCCCTACTATGCGAGAGTATTCAGCATTTGTGGTCCGAAAACAAGATATTGACGCAAGTGCCCTTCTCCCCCCAGCGGTTGACTCACCCGTGACCCTGTCACAACGTCTTTTGGCACTCGAAGTGATTACCCGGTGTATTCAAGATCAAGATTTGGCTAGCCGTCCTCTGTCGGAGAAAATTGCAAGTCTAGAGACCTCCGTTTGGTTTCAGGAAGAAAAAATCACCGGAGCGACTCGCCGGATGGACCGTATTGAAGAGTCTGCCCACAGGCGTTGGAAGGAAACACAAGAAGATTTGCAGTCCATCCGAAGTGATCACCAGAGACTGGAAGCCGAGGTGAGGGAAGCCGTCAAGACACTGGAGAACAAGTGGGAGACTACGCCAGCTGCGTTACAAGAGAGTCTCAGCCGGGGCTTTGAGAAACTTGCAAGCCGCATCGAAACTGCCGAGCTAACACTCCACGACCTCACCAAATCAGTCACTACTATTTCGGAGCTCAACCTGCGGCTCGGTGCTCGCCAATCAAGTCTGGAATCGCTCATTATCCAGTTCCTTGGCAAGAAGGAGAAGAAGCACACTGGCATCAATACCGATTGCTCAGTCTCACCCGACCGCGGTCAGAAAAGCCAGCAGGTACAAGTCTCCCCGACCCCGGGTGTTGTTCTGCCAAACCCAGTTTCAACCGATCACGCGCAAGTCTCTCCAACCCCGGCCGTCTTTCTGCCTCCAGCATCTGAGAGCCCAGCGGTCCTTCTGTTGGCGCCAAACCCAATTCCTCCAACCCGGGCAAGTTCGCCCGGTCCTTACATTGGGGGTAATAGGAAGTCACCTTGGCTACAGAAACTCGAACCCACATTTCAAACCCCTGCACAGAGTAAGTCTTCTACTTGGTGAGGATTCAAAAATCTGACTGCCAGCAAGTTACAAACAATGATGTCCAAACTGTCCAAACTCCATCTACTTAATAGTTAGTAGCATACATGTATATTTTTTGGACAATCTTCAATTTTTTTTGGGCATATTTAATATGAAGTCCTGTGGTGGACATAATAATGAAAGCAGTAAGGCCTCGGCTTCTTTCACAACCCAGTAAACTGTGACCGGCAGAGAAAAGCGGGGGGATCTTGGAGCAACTTTGTCCAATGGAGACCAGCATAGTAACAGCTTGGCGTTTATTTCAGGCAGCCGAGTGCGGTTGTTTGAGCCAGACCTGTTCCAACATGGGTATGTTTACAAGAAACATTGGTCGGTATAAACTTGGTAGGGATTTTGAACCGGGGGTGTGCATAATATATCTCACTGCCTTGTGAACGTCACCGTGCTCGGCTTCTTGGGAAGTCATGGACCCAGTAAACTGCATGACTGAATACTGGACCATGACCGGCAAAGAAAAGCTGAGGTAATGTTTGAGCAACTTGGCAAATAAAACCTGAGTGAAAACGAAACTCGGCCATATAGTGTCAACTGGATGGGACCAGGTTGGGCTGATCCACACTGCATGGGATTCAAAGCTCTTCAGCAGACCCATGACACATGAGCCCATTCCATGAAGAGACGGGTTGACCCAGGATCCAAGGCATATTTAATTCATGGGGTACTAGCTGACTGACCATGTCACCGTGCTTGGCTTCTTGGTAGGTGATGGACCCGACCCAGTAAACTGCATGATGACCGGCAATGAAAAGCCGAGGTAAACTTGGCAAATAAAAATGAGACGGCTGTGGGCTGATCCACAATGCATGGGATTTAGAGCTCTTCAGCTGACCCATGACACATGTTGAGCCCAATCCATGAAGAGATCGGTTGACCCAGGATCCAAGGCATTTTTAGCTATGTCAATTCATGGGGTACACTTCTCAGCCGATGCACAGTACCAGTCCTAAGAGAGTCTTGATGGCCGGTCCACCTTTGATGGGGTCAACTGATCCATGGGCTCATCAGCAGGCACCATCAACTATGGTCTGTTTGTATGGTCGGGGGGCTCAGTATTAGTGGGGTAAGGTAACTAATACTTGTGCAATTGTAAGAGCAACGCGACGCGTCAATAACCCCTATGCCAACCGACACCTACGACAACAGCACGCCCTGGAAACATCAACATTGACGTTGACCAGCCACGGAACAATTACTCACTCCTGTAGGACTTCAGGCTCACCAATTATGATTGACCAGGCTATTACCAGTCAATCACTCATCTATTGTATATTCATTCTCAAACTACATATGTACTATGAATATATTGTTTCCCCAGTGTCATGGTGAGTGAGTGGTTGTGGGAGGAAAAGAAGCAACAGCAACACGCTGAGTTGGTTTTGACAACGGCTACTTTAGGGCAGCCTCACATCTTTTCACGTGATCCTTGTAAGGCTCCCCTAAAGTCACTCAAGCCAATAGACGCCAAACCACACAAACACACTCTCCCGCTCACTCCCACTCATCATAGATACATTCATAGTAGAACTTTACCTTAGCTGTAAGAAGTAGGCATAGGAAACGAAATAGAGAACAAAAAGAAAGAGAATCGTAAAAAACAAAAAGAAAGTTTGGCTGCGCTGACGGTACTTTGTCGGTTTATTGCCAGGCGCCAACGAAAGTAAGCCCTGCCGCCTTTCTCATCCGCCTTCACTAACTCTATACTATAGAATCATTACGATCTTGCTGCCTCTGCAGCCGCTCATGTTGGACCTGTCGAGGACATCGATTTCAGCTCGGGGAGCAAACAAATTGCTACCGTCGGAAACGGCTGTCTGAAATTGTGGACGATTGATTCGAACAGTGAGCTTCTGAAACCATTCATTGAACACTACTAAATTGGGGAGATTAGGACAACTCTCCAACATCATTGCAACGAGTCCACAGGAAGCTATCACTAGGAGCGTTTCCTTTTTTGATCAGGGCTCAAGTGTGCTTGTCACTTATTTGGAGTCGCACGAAGTGTAGGTGGCCTGTAAGTCCGGCACCTTCTTTCCAAGCTCATTTCTGTCTTCACTCTGTAGAGTTGCATATCAGGTCTTGCCTTGGACTATGTTGTGGTCATACCAGTTACCGACTCGAATGTGCGTAGGCACAACATACCATAATTCTTGATTTGATGGGCGCATGCCAGTGGCCATGCGACGATGGCAGCGGACAACCAGTTACTGATAGTGACAAATCTCGTCAACGGAATTGACATATACTCACTGCCTCCAGGCCAACCACTGCGATCATTCACCCATCCCATTCGTCGCAATGTCCCACTTCTCGTTTCTTCTGCTCTTCAAGGGTCTCACATATGACAGTGACCCTAGCCCTTACCTAATGGACTAACCGAACCTGACAATACCTCATACCATATGGGGCCAGCGGACTCGGCCCACCTATCAACATATCCTCCATAGTGATGGCTGGGCCGAACAGGTGTGCGCCTGCCAATAATGGGTGCTCGCGCCTGCCATTAATGGGCGCACTCATTCGAAATGACTTCACTGTGGACCCATGCCCATCGACAAATTGTCCATTAGTGATGGCTGGGCTCAACTGGTGCTCGCCTGCCAAATATAGGCGACAAGCTTTGCACCAAAGCCGTTGTTGTGCCATCAGGTGGGCGACATATCTGGCAGTACTTACTGTCTTCAATTCAATGCGTGGGCCCTACAAAGTCTTCGTTTCAAATGGGTGGGCCCAACAGGTTCAATGAATGGATAATGGAATTTCCACACAAATGTGGCTCAGGTAATGAAGACAATCAAGATCCTGGGATATGAGGTTGGACTTGTACTGAAGTCAAAGAGAGTTTCATGGGCGTCATTGACGACGGCATGGAGAGTGGTGGAAGGAGTGATTCAACGTTGCACACTTTTGAGTCTTTCTTTGATTCAGGTGCCACACCTGTTTTCGCACCGGCGCCTGAGTCAACCTAGCTACATGTTACTTACACCTGCGAATACAAGGTTTGGGTTCCAAGCTGTTCCAAAACCCTGTCATGTAAGAGCGCCAACGCGTAGGAACCTCAATTTGTTTGTGCCCCAAGTAACCCAATACTTTACCATCCCCCACATAATCCACATGGACTCCACTGGATTCCACTGGATTCCACTGGATTCCACTGGACTGGACTGGACTGGACTGCCAATCACAAAACTGGACTCCACTGGACTCCCAGCACAAAACTGGACTCCACTGGACTCCACTGGACTGCAAGCATAAATCTGGACTGGACTGGACTGGACTGGACTGCAAATCACAAAACTGGACTCCACTGGACTCTCCCAACACAAAACTGGACTGGACTGGACTGCCACAGACCTAAGTTAATTCACAATTCCTGAACTTAGATCTCAAAACAAAAAAT